AGTTTGCAGGTGAAACCCTCTCTGCATTTCTACCTCCTCCTCCTCCTTCCAGCATCTTGTCCTGCTCAGTGTGACCTCCACGTTGGACACAGCAGGGTCTGGGATACACTGTGTGAGATTGTGAGGAATGCAGATTCAGTTGAGGAATTTAAACGGGAATGAGATTGTCGTCTGACGAACGGGGGGACCATGTTCAGGACTATGTAAGGGACTTGCTCAGAGAGCTGGGTGCAGGCGGGTGGGCCAAATAGCCTCTTTCTGAGCTGTAATGAATCTGTCCCACTTAAAGTCAGCCCAGGTTAGGGTTTCGCTGTTACATTGTCAATAAAACAGTCCCAACGTTTTTGTTCGATGTTGTACATTTCTGGCCAAACTTGCTTGCCTCAAACCTCCTGGTCTGTGACTCACCTGCTCGGAGGATATGTTATATCTTTGTTGCTTCACTCATTGGGATGTCCCCTGGCCTTTCTCAGGTTGCTGGCCCCTGCCCTCAGTCCTTCTTCACCTCCTGAAACGTCCCCGTTCCCCACATCTCCGTCTCCTGCCCTCTGCTTTTCAGCTTAAATCTCCAAAGTCCGCTCCCTCAGGACTCTCCTGTTCTGAACTCGAGCTGAATATCTGGCCCATACCCAGTGGCAGAGGCTCGTCGATGTATCTTTATCCTGCACCAACTGCTTTCTTTCACTAGATGGAACCCAGTCACTATTTCACCTTTTCATTTTAACAGTTATTTCGGTAATTCTGTACAAATTGCATTTCTTGCCTCTGTTTAAGTTTATTTAATTTTAAGGTTTTTACTTATGATTGTACAGCATATGAAACTGTATATTGCTTTTTCGTTACCAAGCAGGAAATGTCCATGGAACCTAACTCTAGCTTTAATATTGATCTGCATGGAAATATATGATTTACTTAAAGTTGCATGACTTAAATACAAGATTATCAAGAACATAACCACCACCTTAAGTGAGGACTTGCTACAGATATCTCCAGGACACCTCGGGACATGTTGAGCTTGTAATTACATGTCATTTTTTTCCCCACTTCCAGTCAGGAGAATCACAGGTTTGATTTAATGGCTGGAGAGAGAGAGAGAGAGAGAGAGAGAGAGAGAGATCCCGGAATGTCACACCTGATGAGGAAGTTTCAAAGGGATGGTCTTAAAAAGGGAGAAATGTGCTACAAATTGAATTGTAATCTTTTGGGAGTTACCTCAGAATGTGAACATGGCAGTCGAAATGATAACAGTCTAGGTGTGAGGCATATATATATTGTATCAAACATTTTCAATAACCTACCGGAATAAGGGTTAAAAGTCAGGTTTGTGTATGCTAGTGAGCTGGGATAATCGTGCAGTAGCCATGCGAGTGTGTTTTGTGAACATCACAGCACAGAGCAACCTGCTAGTGAGTCCTGCATTTTAGGGAAAGGGGTCTAACTCTGAGCACTAGAAGCCAGCAAGCAGTGAAATGGAATAAGAGAAGCGAAGGGCTGCTCTCTCTGACTATTGCCAGCCAACAACTTTCAAAATGAAACAGGACAAAACAATTTCAACCAACCTGCCAAACCAAAAATCCCCAAATCAACTGCTCGACTATAAACGTTCCGTGATTGAGTCTTCACAAACAACTCAGAGAAAGAACAGCAGATAGTGGAACCGTTATCATTTTTCTGCACTCACTTTTCATTTTCAGTTTGTGTGTGTCTGTGTGTCATTGTTAACACTTTGTGACTTTAGTAGCTAAAGAACTCACTCCGTTGGTAACCCAAGAAACTCAGCGTAAAACATCAATAAATTCAGTCTGGGAGACAGGACCCCATGAGGGAGGGGTCTGTTTGTAAGGAAACTGGTTCCGACCGACTGAGGGGATGTGTGAATAAAGGAGAGAGAGCTAGTTTATCACTTCCCATGGGAACAAAACAGGTTTTTGGATCAAGCAACCAGAACAGATATCACTTGGGAAATGTCACCTGGGTTTTGATGAAGAAAAATGAGATTAGAATATCAGTTGCCTGAGGGTTAGTTAAAGATTGGAATCTCAGCAAGGGAATCAGGAAGTTTACGTAGAGACTAACAGAAACCTGGGAGTGAATTACAGACTGGAATCTAATTGAGAGTTTCAGGGTGTTTATATATAGAATAACAGATACAGGGGAGTGAATTACAGACTGGAATCTAATTGAGGGGCTCAGGATGGTTCAATTATAGAACAGCAGTTACTTGGGAGTAAATTACAGACCAGAATCTTATCAAGGGGTTTGAGGTGTTTTGTAGACTCGAATCTAATCGAGGGGAATCAGATGAGGTTTTGGATGGAATAACAGAAGCCTGGGAGTTCAGGGTTTCCTACAGAATACTTCAGTTCTCAGTCAGTTGCAGATGTAAATGGAAAGGCAGGTTCCAGGTTAGATTCACTACAGAGTGAGGAAGTGGCTAAACACCACTGTGTCTGTGTACTGGTGCTCAGTGATAAGTGGTGGGAGAATCGAGGACTTTCAAGGCCATTCATCCTACACCATGTTACTGATAGCCCAGGCCACCTTCCTCTCACCCCATTGTTTCCCTGCGACTAAAGTCCCACCATCCAAAGTTGGGGCCTGACTGATCTCACCATCGATGGTGCTGACAAAATGACACCAGCTGCTCAGATGCTCATGACGGTTTATTAAAGGCAAGTGCAGAAGGGGAAAGACATTTCTGGTGGATCGCTCAGTCTTCAGGAAGGCAGCAGCAGGCAGGCAATGGAGCGATGGTTCCCATGTGTCACCACCGAGTGCCCAATACAGGCCTCAACACTGAACTGGTCAGAGAGGGCACTGGGATTGGGATGGAGGTGGGACCACCCATACATTTCGCATACAGAAGCTGAAGCAGACCCCTCTTAAAGTAGGCATCCAATTGAACTCCTGAGGGGTGTTCACGTGTTTCCCAAGTTCTCCTATTAGACAACACATGTACATGGATGGCAGTTAATTCCACAGGCCTGCTCCCCACGGTAGATTCGGAAATATCCCTGTTGAGTAGAAGGTGGGAGAGAAATAACAGCCATGAATATTATGCGACAATGGAGTTCAATAATTTGTTCATACATCCTCTCAGACAGAAAGAGAGAAGGGGAACACAAAGAGATTTGGAACACTGCAAGATTCCCCTCATCGTAGTGAAACCCGTTGATACAATTCCTTCCCAACCAGTCCCACTGGAAGTTTGAATGAGAATAATCTTTCTTATCCCAGTTGGTGTCATTCCCAAAGATCTGTGGGGGTCCTATTGTCCAAGATTGACTGTGCTCCCTTGGTCTGAGACACCCCTCTCCTCCCCTCGCCCACATTGATCAGGAGGAAAGGATCCCATTCTCTTGTTCGGGGTTGGGGGTGTGGGAGGTCACACAAGTCTGTGCCTCCAGCCCTCACGAGTGATCACTGCCAACCTCTCGCACTATGGAACATTGGCCAAGGAACAGTAACAGCACAGGAACAGGCCCCTTTGTCCTATCATGTCTGTGCTGACCATGGTGCCATTTTACACTAATCCCAGCTCGCTGCTTATTCTCCGTATCCCACAGCACTTTCAGATAAGGAGGCAGAATTAGGCCATTTGGCCCAGCGATTCTGGCCCACCAATTCAATCGTGGCTAATATGCTTTGTTAAGTCTATTCTCCTGCCCTTCTCCTGTAAATATATCAGATAATCAAGGGTGACACGACTTAGGCAGGGATCCAAGTTAAGATGCAGAGCAGCCAAGAGAGGAGTCAATAACACAACAGGTTGAAGGGGCAGAATGGTCTCGTCTGAATGGGAATGACTTACCCTCTCTCCCCAGTTAACTCCCCAACTGTTCTTGAGAATCCAATAAGGATGATGACCACCTGCAACAGGACAAGACCAAATTGGGATTAGTAAATCCAACGGCACTGTTTCTTCAGTTTGCTCTGATCACTGATCAGTGCCCTCTGCACAACCCGTGGGAGTGAGGACATCACATCAGGTTTGGAGCTCAATTCCTCAACAATTCAACACAGCCATCTTCAAAGGGAGTGGCACTGTCGGAGGGTCAGTGCTGAGGGAGCGCCGCACTGTCGGAGGGTCAGTGCTGAGGGAGCGGGCACTGTCGGAGGGTCAGTGCTGAGGGAGCGTCGCACTGTCGGAGGGTCAGTGCTGAGGGAGGGGGCACTGTCGGAGGGTCAGTGCTGAGGGAGCGTCGCACTGTCACAGGGTCAGTGCCGAGGGAGTGGGCACTGTCGGAGGGTCAGTGCTGAGGGAGCGCCGCACTGTCAGAGGGTCAGTGCTGAGGGAGGGGGCACTGTCGGATGGTCAGTGCTGAGGGAGCG